AGTCCCCCCCCCCCCCTCCTCCTAATGTTTTCAAATAAATTTAGATCAAACATTATCAACACCAATTGCCTACTTTCTTAGAGTGCTGACAATAAAATCATCTTTTTGTTTGCTTTTGTTACAAAAATACTTACAAGAAAGAGTACTACGGACCCCTCATGGACTCAAAAGATTTGGTTCCACATTTTTTGGTCCCTTTAAAATTATTTCATTCTTAATTATTTCTATAGAAAAAATATATTAATTGTAGGTGGTTAGCTTGAAATATAAGTGGATAGGCAAAAGGCTACATAAAGATAGTTCATTATTAATCTAACTCTATCAATCTCAAAAATTAGTTCATGAGATACGAATTGTTCAATTGTTTATCTCATAAATGATGTGGGACAACATTATATTATATGCATGCTCAAATTCTAGCTCATGACTTGAAATTATTAATGATGTAATATTGTTAAAGAGAGCAAATTTTTATTTATTTTGTTAGGTCTTTCATGAACATTCCCCTCATGTGCGATTTGCTTCTTTTTCATGGATCAATTACGTAAAAAAAGAAAAGAATTATATAATGAATGGTGGTAATACGAAGTTTGGTCAGATATCATACATTGAAGTGTACGTGTAATCATCTCATCTAAGAATTTTAGTTATTCGAGCTAGACCATACTTTTATTTCCTTAATTATTACTTATCTCTTCCATGCATCCACATCTTAAATCTTCCTCTTATTTAAAATGTCAAAGCTTACTTTGGATGACCCACGATTAGTTAGTTATTCATGTTAAACATTATAATGACACCATTTGATTGAAAAAACTAAAAAAACTGTACTATTAAAGTGTAAATATGAAGATTTGGTATGGTTGGTGAGGCCTGAGATGCATATTTAAATGGGTAGAACTTATTTTATATAAACAATTTAGTCAAAAACATGCTTGCATCAGTAAAGAAGAGAGATTATATACTAAGACATAAACGCATTTTGCACAATTAATATATAGTAGTGTGTTTCATAACTTCAATTTTTTCACCAAAATTGTTCTTAGAAAATCACTTGAGCATAGTTTTTTTTTTTGAATAATTGATAGACAATAAGTAAGAATATTTTTTAAATAATTAAATTAATTAGGTCCTTCGAAAAGAAAATGCTACTCACATTATTAATTATTGTTTGCTTAAGGACAACTCAACACGAGAAAAAAGATGTGATAAAATGAAGAGAGCACTACCTAAAGAATGTTTTTCCCCAAAAGTCAAAGTCATTATGCCATTGTCAAACATAATTCCTCAATCTTTTTGACTTCCAAAATTAAAATGTGGAGATGTTAAAGAAATGATTGAAAGATTATAATTTTTCCTGTCCCCATTATAAGTTTAAAATATTTTTTATTTCATCTCCTTAATTTTTTCTTCAAGAATCCTAATAGTAACAAAAAATAATGAGATACTATGACATTTCTCCTTTCCTTGTATTTGGAATTAATTTATAAATAATCTATTTATGTAATACTTTTTTATACCTTCTGCATAATATATTAAATTTAATTATATAGTAGTCGGTATCCAATGTTAGGTAGTTAAGAGAAATATTGGAAGACTAGTTAGAATATACTATAAATATATATGCCATTATAAAATTGTGCATAGGATACTAAAAATCAACACACAAAAATAAGTTCTTTCTGCCTTTGAATTTTTTTACAAATTTTTGCTGTTATAATTTTGAAAATGGTTACACTTTTCGATTTGTTCATAAATTGCTGATCGAATAGATGCCTTCTTTTCTGTGTTCAATGGTCAATAAAGCATTTCGGCTGCATTGTACTATTACTATCCCATAGTCCTCGATCTAACATGTGTTTCAATCAAGTTATAATTGTCAAGTCATAACTAATCATCTCTATCGAATACTTCTTCAGTCTATCTCACCCCTCCTTAAACCATTCATATTCAACCTCTCACGCCTCTGCAATAAGATATCCATACATCTCTCTTCACATGTTTGAACCATCTCTCGCTTCCCACATTCTGTCTGGACCCTCCCACCCGATAAGAATAAATCAATTTGTAATTTTGATCAACATGATAATGAAATATTTTTCAAAAGAATAGAATTGCCTTTATACTATTTGAAATTGTTGAATTTTATTCATTTGTTACAATAAAAGCGTGAAACATAAATTAAAGGAGCATGATTCTTTTGAGTACTTATTAAATTAAACATTTGCATTGGATCTATAACCAAAGAGTCCAAATTTATTACTCCCTTTGTCTCTATTTACTTGTTCACATTTTCTTTTATAGTTGTCACTAATTACTTATCTATTTTAACAAATTAAGAAAGGACAAAAAAAATTCCTATTATACCCTCAATTAATTACTTTGAAAAAGGTAGAACTTTTTGAAAATATTAAATTTTTAATTCATCCACTTCATAATTAATACGAGTAAATTGATAAACTCACTATGTCAATAATTATTTTCTTAATAGGTATGCCAATTCAAAAATGGACAAATAATTAACAACAAGGGAGTATCAAAAGTCATCCATTTACGTTCAAGAAAGATGCTCTTACTATTTCTGAAAATTCAAATTTAGGACACGTGTGGACTATTTGTATGTGCAAGAAGCATGCAAAATGAGTAAACTAAATTATATAGTATATAGTACGTCGTATACATTATTAATTATTATCTTTGGCAGTATTTATCTGACTTTAATTTGTAAATTTTATTCCTTTAAAATATGCATGATACTTGGAGTCATTTTTCTTCCAAAGGAAACATCAATTTCATATTTGAACTCACACTTTGTCGGGAAAGAAAGGGAAATAAATTAACCAAGGGATTGAAAAGAGAGTTCAACATTGTCAAAGGCAAAATATTTTCATCACGAAAGTTCAACATCTGTTATGTATATTTAATTCACTTAAAAAAGAAATATTGAATAAACATAAAACGGATTCATAGGAAGAACCATGTGAAACAATTCACAAACGGTTCAAAAGTCGAGTCCCTTACCTTACTCAAGGATTAATTAGATCAACACTTATATAATAACCGATCCCTTGCTCAAGGGTTAATCAGATCAACACTTATATAATAATCGATCATCAATTGATCATGGAAAAATCTAAAACTTTTTAGTAGTGACTTATTGTAACCTGACACCCTAAGACTTCAATTTATTCACACAACAAATTATTAATTAGAATAGTTGAGGCCTGAGGGGAAGGGGGCAGCCAATGCACTTTATCATTTTATAGAAGAGTCGACTATTTTCAAGATTTAACAACAAAACAATATATATGAAGTGGAGTGTGAAAGGAAGTTATTTTTCTTTGCATTTAACTAAAGAAGTAGACCCAACATTTACTTTCTTCTACATGAGTTGCTTTGCTTTTTTCACTTTAGCAAACCAAACAAGAAAAGGAAAACTTCTGAAACCTCCCTTTTTTCTTTCCTTTATATCTATATTTCTCAAATAAAGGAAACCCCACCAACAAGAGATGTGGTGAAGTAGTAAGGACACATTCATCCGTAATTAGAGTTTTCAGTTTGAGTCTCCCTAGCTACATAGTCGTCTTTGTTAGGGGGTGTTTTACCCCCAATGTGGGACTTCCTGATGCGAATCCAGATTTAATTAGGCTCCAATATGACTATCAAACAACAATGGTATGAACCAAAAAAGAAAAACCCCACCCACCCTTAATTGACTCCTAATAATATAAAACTTAATATTTTCTTCTTTTAACATAAAGAGTAACATAGTAACACCTAGATGAGCTTCAACCCCACCAGAAATCTTAATTATTCTTGTTTCCCACCTAAATTATGAGAAAAAGTAACCACTTCATGTTATTGAAGTTTAAAAATTGGGACTATGAAATGTAAAATTAATTTTTGAAAAAGAAAAAGAAGGCGCCAAAAAAGATGTCTTATCAGGAGAAATTACTTTTAATTTGTTCGACCAAAATCTGTAGAGACTTCCAGCTTTGGGACCCTCACGCAGCCTCTTCCCACTTCAAAAATTATATTTTTCGTTGTCGAATTTTGATTTGATACGAAATTTTAAGTCATATTCAATCAGAAAGGATGTTATTTCAAACGCATTTCAAGTAATTATAGTAAAATTTTGACTTGTTATCCCTTTGATCGTGATAAGTGAAACAATAACACAAAAATTAAATAAAATGAGTTATCTTTAGTGACGACGCTAAATTTTTTTAAAAAAAAATACTCAAATAAATTTAGGGAATTTAACATAGATATAGTATATGTATCATCTTTTAAATTTATTTATACATGTGGAACTCAACACCCTGCCATATGCATGACTAGAACTGGAAATCTGAAACATGAACAATATAAGATGAGGATCTAACATCAGGTTAAACAATGACTATCAATTGTATCAATACATATATATAAGGGGAAAATGTATGAAATATATTCGAACTTTGACCAAAATTGCTGTAACAATAGCGAACTTTGGAAAGGACCTTTTACCCACTGCACTATTTAATAGTGTGTTTTAAAGGTATTTATGTACCCATGTGGACATCATAAATATTGTATCATTATAAATAGTAACGTGTCCATGTGAGCACATATATACCTTTAAAATACACTATTAAATAGTGCAATGGGTAAAAGGTCCTCCATAAAGTTTGGTATCATAACAACAATTTCAGCCAAAGTTGAAGTGTTTTTCAGACCCTTTTCCCTGTATATAATAAAGGCCTATAATAAAATAAAACTCTGATCCCTTTCATTAGCATATAGTTCCCTTTAGCATGCATAAAAATCCATCACCTTCCATCCTCCCACCTGCCTCCCCCTTTTCCACTCCTACTCTTTTTTCTCTCTAGAATTATTTCCCTTGTTAGATACTCTTTTAATATTGTTTATCTTTCTCTACTATATATACACACCAACACTTGACTTACTTCTTTAATTTAATTAATAAACCTTTCTACATATATACTCTCTCCTTCAACAAGTGTCAAACTAGTATACTATATACTACAATTAGCTACTACTCCAACATCATTTAATGAAGGAGTGTGGGAAAAATAGTAGTTCACCATGTGCAGCTTGCAAGTTATTGAGAAGAAGATGTGGTCATGACTGTGTTTTTGCACCTTATTTCCCTGCTGATGAACCTCACAAGTTTGCTAATGTTCATAAGGTCTTTGGTGCTAGTAATGTCAGCAAAATGTTACAGGTTCCACCTTTTATATATCTCTTCTTTTTATCTTCCTAACTTAACATCTCTACTTCTAATTAGGGCTATCTTCTTCAATTCAACACCTTAATTATCTATGTAACTTATAGTTCGAGCTGTGGAATCAGTCACTCACTGATGTTTGTGTCATGATAGCTTATATCACCCTCTTGAGGTCCCTAGATCATAAATGAACACAAGATATTTCGTGCACTAGATTGTTATATGAAGTATTCAACATGAGATGGATCTAGAGATAAGCTTATTTAATTAAATAAAAATATTGGACATGGAAGCTATACATGCACTTGGTCTGAACATGCTATAATAGAGAAGAGATAATGTATTTTAACATGTCACATGCAATAAAATCCAAAAGGTTGGAGTAAATAAAAGCATAACAGACAAGTATATATATGTATATATGATAAATAAATATATAATCGCTTAAATTAAGTATCATAAATTATGAAGTATTTCTTAAGAGGCACCAAATAATGTTTATGCTTGAGCCGGTATAAAAAGTTTTAACCATATTTGTCCTCTAGCTATTGATCAAAATGTGCCAAACAATCACATAATTAGGAACAATGTACTATATTATTGGGTCAAGTATTTAAATTTTCACTTTCATCTTAACCTCAGTAGTGAACCACAATACTAACTACAAATTCAACATGAATCAATAATTAATTTGATTCGAAAAGTCATATATTTATGTTAACAAATTTATTTAATACGTATAAATAATCTATTCAAAAATCTCGACAATGTTAGCTTTATTATGACAAAAGTTGTAGGGTCGATAGACTAGGGGAACAAAGAGATGTTTGTTAGTTGTTGAAAAACCGTTTCATTTGTTAAATGTGGAAAAAGTTTTAAGTAGTCTATTTTTGTCCCACATCAAATCCTAGAAAATATTGACAATTGAATATAATAAAATTTGAAATTTTCATGATCAAACAACGATTTTCGAGACATTTTCTCATGTTGAATGGATCCTTAATTTGGAGCCATAATCTCCATTCTCCATGTCCAATTGTTTCTTTATTTTCTTAAAATTTGAAAGTCAACTAATTTATTCAATATGAATATGGTCACTATCACAATATATATACTTTTTACAACTGAAATCTTAAGTGGACACGTGATGTTTTTTCCTATCGTCATTTTTCATAAAATTTCTGGGGTTGTTAAATGGTCTCCTATTTTAAAATTTTAAAGGACAAAAGAATCAACTTACTTCAAGAAATTGAACACATTTATTCTTTTGACCACATATATATACATATTTTGATAGCAACATATCACCTCTTAGCCATAATTAAAGATTTCTCTGATTTGACCTAAAAAAAAGGTGATTTCTCTCTCTCTTTCCCTTTTCTCCTTTCATTTTTTCAACTAAACACTCCTTTTTAGTTATTTTCATTTTTATGACACAAAAATGATGTCAATATGACATACTCTTTGAAGATACCTTCTTGGGGTCCTCAAGGTGCAAATCAAGCCCATTAATTAGCCTATCAAACTTATTAGGGTAACTTACTTGGTGCGTCTAGATACATGTATCTCGGGATACATAAGGTCAAAATTAAGTGTAATTTGTTCTAAATACATTGTATCTAAGTGGATTCACATGTATCTGGGATATATAGATAAATATCGTTCGCCTCCCTCATATCTCGCTCTCCAGTCTCCTATCTCGCTTGTGTATGGTAACTCAGATACATGTGAATCACACCATGTATCTGGTGTGATTCGCATGTATCTGAAGTATATGGACAAGTCTAGCTCGTCTCCCTCCTGTTCTTGCTCGCCTCTCTCCCTATTTCAGTGTGTCTGGTAGCACAAAAAAAAACATGTATCTAGGTAATTCTGATATGAAAATATTAATTAGTAAGACAATAGGTAATTATTTCAAACTATATGGAGAAGTAGTAAATATGGTAAAAAGCCCATAAGGATTTTGTCTCCAAAGTTACTAATTTATGGCATAGCACATTATGGCTATGATAAAAGTTGTACATGCTAACCACTTTTCAGATTGATTTTCGAATAGTAATTAGTTCTTGAAAATTCATAAAAAGTAGCCCTTTTATATGCAAAAACACAATGACAGTGTCATGGATTTCGATCTTAACGTAAAATGGCGTAAAATTGCAGGAATTGCCAGAGCACAAAAGAGGAGATGCAGTGAGTAGCATGGTGTATGAAGCTAATGCTAGAGTTAGAGATCCAGTTTATGGATGTGTTGGAGCCATTTCATCTCTTCAACAACAAATTGATATGCTAAGAACCCAACTAGCCATGGCCCAAGCTGAGGTTGTCCAATTGAAGCTAAGACAATCAACAAACATTACAAATAGCCCACCAAATAGTGGGTCACCCATTATGGGCTCACTGCCCAAAGGATATTACCATATGGATTTGGATGTAGACCAGTCCAACACCTTCAATGAGCCTATGTGGCCATATTAGATGAATTTTGTTGTCTATTTAAACTTCAAAAATTATCTTGTGTCCTTTTGCCTCTATATATCTTTTTCTTATAAGAGCAAAGGTGATGATTAGGTTGTTGTTTGTGAGCTATGTTGCTCAGACTCTTCCAAAATGTCGACATGTGCGTGTCTGATCCACACGGATGTGACATCATTTTTAAAAAGTTCGAACAACTTAGTTTGTGAGTGTGTTAGAATGAAATCAAACCCTTCATGGGGTGTTCGGCCTTTTGGCAAAAAAAAGATTATACTATCATCTTTGTTCTTGTGTATATATATGTAATAGGAAATTTTTCTTAAAAGGACATTGTGTTTTTTTTCCCAATCTTGATTGAAGACATTAAAGTCCCTTAATATACTTAACAACTAATGGTCCATAAAACTCTTATTTAACCATCTGATATCTGAAATTCATGTCGCGCATAACACATTTAAAGGAGAAGAATTCCCTCGAGACCTCTATTTAAGGATAGAGCCACGACAATATCTATTGATACTTACAATCTTAACATCATAACATATAGAACTAATTAACAATCATCCACCACAAGATCTACACATAGTATATATGAAATTCTCAATGTTTTTTCATAATATAAACAAGTGAAAGCGCGATTACATGAGAATATCAAATTAGACATTAGGATCAATGAGATCTCCATTCAAGTACTCTCTGTAAGCAGCAACAGGCCAGATGAAGCCTCTCCAAACGAGCCTATTAGCCAACGGAACGTCGATTATAATTTCTTTCATTGTTGGTTTCTTATCATCTCTTACTGCAATCAAGTAGCTCCTTCCTACCCATCCAATCCATCCAGCAATGTACAAGAAGAGGATCCCTGGTGTGATGAACTCACCCCAGTGCCTTTGGTCACCACTCACAATCAAGTGTGGCAGTCCATCTGATCCACACAACAATCCTTGTTTACCATAGTTGTCGAACCTGTAATGACAATAGTTGAGTGATTTTGTAAGTGAAATAATTGAGTGGATTTCTGAGATAATTACCTGCGTTTAGTTTTTTCAATAGTGGCATTAATAGCAAGTGCAGGGGCGCTATCAGGTGCATAAAGCTTCAAAGAACTCTCAAGTTTCTTGATCTGTTGCTTCTCCCTCTTAGCAAACTGTTTTGAATCTTTGCAAGGTGTGAGCCCAGAGATGTCAGCAGAAGCTGGAAGAACTGGTGCTGACAACAGAATTGAAGACAAAGCAAGTGCTGCAGAGAATGCCTTTAATGAAGAAGAACTTTCCTCTGTTGAATTAGAAACAGGGGTTTGGTTTGAAGAACACACAATGGCTGAAGTTCTTGGTTTTGTGGTAAATTGAGAGCCAAACTTAGATGTTGAAATGGGTTTTGAAAGGTTTGAAGGAATAGTAAGAGACATGGTGTTTTTTTTCCTCTCTTTTTTTTCAAGAAAACAGAGAGGAAAGAAGGAGAAGATTGGAGTGTGGAGAGTGAAAGGATGGTTTTTTAGGATTTGTGGAAGAAAGGATTGGTGATCAAGAGAGAGAGGATAAGGAGTTGAAAGGGTGCTTAGGTGGAGGGATTTGATTGGCTAATAGAGTTGGATTTTATGAGTTTTAGGGATTTTTTGATCCATCTGTGGAAGAGCAAGAACCAGGGATTTAACAGATACAGATATTATGCTTTGGATCATGTACACTTTTGCCACACTAATTTGGGATAGTCTTTAATTTTTGTCCGTCGCGGTAAATAATTCTTTGCAAGGTATAAGTTTATAATTTCGTATCATAATAAATATCTTCGTAAATGACTTCAGTTTTTGAAAAAAAGTTTGTAAGTTCTATTGCTAAAGAACAAAAACTTAGAACCTATTTATTTGAAGAGCAGAATTAATAGATCAATACAATTTTATGGTTTTGAGCTAACTGACCATGCACTTCATGGGCTCTCAGCAAAAGCATATTTCCATATGGATTTAAATGTAAACCAGTCCAACAGCTTCAATGAGCCCATGTGTTTGAATGAAAGTTTAAATTTGATCTATGTACTGAGGGAACCATATCGATGTGCACACCGTGATCTCTATGCAGCTAAAATTTTGGTCATGAAGAAGCATACTATATTATGGATTTATGTTTCCATTATTGGGCCAAGAGTAGTTAGCTGAATTGTAGGCCATTGGTTGTAATACAACAAGTTTTGACGAAAATAAAATTCATGAATTTTCCAGTTCATTAGAGTGGGGCAAGCACCTTGACGGAATGATATCTTTTCATCAACTGGTACCCTTGTCACGTTAAGCTCTCCATGTAGCAAATGCCATCTTCAATGATACTTGTTTATGCCATATTTTTTGTATCCCATACTTGATTCTTTTTTCTTCCATCTTACGACCTCCCATGTTCATCAAACTACTGAGAACTTGCCCATTCATGTTAGCAGGAACAAGGTAATGTGTTTTTTGTGCTACCACATGTACTTTGGACTGTGGTTGGAATCTCCACATCTATCATATCATACTGTAAAGTACCTTGTTAAGCAGGATATTTCGGTTTTGCTCCATCAGGTAAATGACTGCAGAGGACAAAGGGGATCTATTTTTGTTCAGTTGGCATACCAGAATGATATATTTCCCTTTCCAGGCAGAAATACAATATTTTCCTCAACTTAGAGGTTTATGTCACAGAGGACTCTCCAGCCGCGTGACTGGCCTGAATTATGCACACCACTACTTGTTGACCTGATTACGTTTCATGGATCATACATGTTAAATATTTTTTGGGATGGCATTGATATTTGAGCATATAAACCTCTATCTACTGTGATACGATATTGAAAATGAATGAGGAGCAATCTCTTAGTTAATTATATTATGTCACAACATTCAATTGGAGACACTCATTTAGATGCCTGATCAACTTATCAAACCGTGAGAACAATTTCCAAACGAATCATAAAAAGAACATTAGACAGTGAACTAGCCATCATCTAGCAACACATGGTATAGAAAATTCACAATCTTTCATGGATATAAACAAGTGAAAGTATAATTCCACGAGTCTCCAACAAGAGAAATTTAAACATGGGTAATCAAAATTAGACATTAGGGTCAATGAGGTCTCCATTCAAGTACTCTCTGTAAGCAGCAACAGGCCAGATGAAGCCTCTCCAAACGAGTCTATTAGCCAATGGAACATCGATGATGATTTCCTTCATTGTTGGTTTCTTATCATCTCTTACTGCAATCAAGTAGCTCCTTCCTACCCATCCAATCCATCCAGCAATGTACAAGAAGAGGATCCCTGGAGTGATGAACTCACCCCAATGCCTCTGGTCTCCACTCACTATCAAGTGTGGTAGTCCATCTGATCCACACAACAGTCCTTGTTTCCCGTAGTTGTCAAACCTGCAATGACAATAGTTCAGTGACTTTGTAAGTGAAATGACGATAGTTTAGTCGCTTTCTGATGAATTAAACATCTACTCGAGTATCAAAGGGTATGTATGTTCTATTTTTGGATGTTTCCTAGTCTAATCTCAACGACATATGCAAGGAAAAGTTGAAAATCTGTTCCAGAACAAGCTGCTTTTCTTTGATAAGCAAATGTTAATGTACTTGGTGCTTTCGTTTGTAAAGAATGCTTTTAGCTCTTCCTCTACTCCTATGGGGATTAAAGAGAGAAGGCGTTGAAGGTAGCCTCGTTATCCATACTTCTGGTGGGATCAATAGAGCATTAGCCTACCCATATTTTTACAGTACTGTCTATCAAGTTTACATACCCCGGTGATCATTGACACCATTTCCTTTTTTTATTTGTTTTAAAATGGAATGCTACATTTTTATATTTCACAACTTTTTAATTCTAAGCTTCTTAACTTCACCATATGCTATCATAACTATAAACATGTACTTATGTCTAAGATCACAGTTCTAAGAATACTAGTCCACAATCAAATACATCCGTATAAGTGCAAGAAGGGGAAAAAAGAGCAGCGTGTTACATTAAAGCTCCCGCTATGCACAAGTCCGGTATTTATTGAAGTATTAAAAAAATGATAACTAGGGGTAGAAGTAAACTTTTCAAGATTCCTGGAAATTATGAATAAGAAACAAAGGCAAACCTGCGTTTAGTTTTTTCAATAGTGGCATTAATAGCAAGTGCAGGGGCGCTATCAGGTGCATAAAGTTTCAAAGAACTCTCAAGTTTCTTGATCTGTTGCTTCTCCCTTTTAGCAAACTGTTTTGAATCCTTGCAAGGTGTAAGCCCAGAGATATCAGCAGAAGCTGGAAGAACTGGTGCTGACAACAGAATAGAAGACAAAGCAAGTGCTGCAGAGAATGCCTTTAATGAAGATGAACTTTCCTCTGTTGAATTAGAAACAGGGGTTTGGTTTGAAGAACACACAATGGCTGAAGTTCTTGGTTTTGTGGTAAATTGAGACCCAAACTTAGACGTTGAAATGGGTTTTGAAAGGTTTGTTGGAATAGTAAGAGACATGGTGTTCTTTCTAATTTTTAATGTACTACAAGAAAAAATGGTAGAAGGAGATTGAAGTGTGGAGAATGAAACTATTGGTTTTTTAGGATTTGTGGAAGAAAGAGAGAGGATAAGGAGTTGAAAGGGATCTTAGGTGGAGTGATTTGATTGGATAATTGAGTTGGATTTTATGAGTTTTGGAGATTTTCTGAAATTTTATCTATCTGTGGAAGAACAACAACCATGGATTACAGATACGCATACTTTCGTGTGGCCACCACATAGGTGAAGAGAACTCTTGAATGAGCAATTATTAATAATCTATTGGATGAGTATTTACTATTTTACACGATAATTAAAAAATCATTAGTAATAGATTGATCGACTTTGTTATTTTGCCGCATGTCATATCAATGAACATAAAAATAAGTTATAAAAAATATTATAGGTTTTGGGTTGTCCAAGTGGATCGATTCGATCTGATTTTATCCAATTCGATTTAATTAATTAATTGATAATTATGTTTTAAAGTATAAGAGAGAACATTTACAAATTGCTCAACCTCTCCTTTAAAGACTTCTAATGAGAGTAATTTTCTAAGCGTGATAAAAAAGAGTGGAGAACGTGAAAAATCAAAATCAAAAAAGACATAGAAAAGAAAAACTATCCTAGAATTTTCACAATTCAATCAACACACTAAGGAGATTCTTAGTTTGTGAATTGTACTACGTTTTCATTGAGAGACGAAGTCGATCTTGTGATTGTTTGAATTTGGAGCGAATCTACAACAAAAGGATTGTCAACAATTTCGGATGCAAGTATTATTAAG